TCTTTCACGCAGCATACAGCGGTGTTGTGCATTTTGACCAGTTGATGGGAAAAGTATTCTTAAAATGCATTCAAAATTCTGAATAATTTGTAATATATAATTATTCACGGTATTTAGAAGTGCCCACGATAACAATATCGTGCATACTCATTACCATGATATATCGCATTACCGAATACCGGCACAAGTCTAGACAGCCTCGATGACGTATGCAGCCTTCGAATTCGATTTGTTTAGCATTTCAACCGATTTGAATCGTCACATATTTTAATCAATTTTCAACCAGCTCGTGGTTAATCGTTACATCCCTATATATAATTACAGTATTTTTTGTGATTAAGCTATAGCATTTGTGCATTTAAACAATGTTTTTAGACTACTGTTTTTCATACAGAAACGTAGAAACCATAAAGTTATATTTTTACTATGGTATCGAGGTGTGCTATAGACAGAGCGTCATAATCTGAAAACCACATCCACCGGGGGGGAAAACAATCCAACGCTCTCCATGGACTTTGTATTGTGGGAAGCTGCCGCCTTGTCATTTCTGAGTCCGACTTATAACAAAAAACAGAACAATGTCCAGGGCTCTCGAGTCGCGATACGGCTGGATTAAACTTCAAAAGGCAATGATGTCAATGAATAAATATGAGCGGAGCGCGGATGTCTTTATTTGAATGTATCTGAAGGGAACCGACGGTTCTCAGAAACGTGTCGCTGGCGTTTTAATTTCATTTTACCTATAATCCCTGATAAAGCAGCGTTTATAAGCGCGGAGCTGCTTTGTGTACAGCCGTTACCGGGAAACCGCAATATTTCAGCTCCTAAAGCGCCACCTCGTGGCAGAGAATGAATTTGCATTTCCAACTAGCCTTTCTTGCTGTTTATGGTCAGATCAATGCAAATATCAACTCATGTTTTTATGCAGCAAACACAGAGTTGTAAATGAGAACGAAGTTAATGTGCCTTCTAAAAATCGAAAACAATTAAGACGTATAATTATTTATACGTTTTAAATTGACAATTTATATGCTTGATTTATCCCTTTTCATAAGCAGCGTTTATAAGCGCGGAGCTGCTTTGTGTACAGCCGTTACCGGGAAACCGCAATATTTCAGCTCCTAAAGCGCCACCTCGTGGCAGAGAATGAATTTGCATTTCCAACAAGCCTTTCTTGCTGTTTATGGTCAGATCAATGCAAATATCAACTCATGTTTTTATGCAGCAAACACAGAGTTGTAAATGATAAAGAAGTTAATGTGCCTTCTAAAAATCTAAACAATTAAGACTGTTAATATTTATAAGTTTTAAGTTGACAATTTATATGCTTGATTTATCCCTTTTCATAAAAATGATCTAAAGGCTGAAATGCTGGTGTATACGATTTTTGCTCATACTCAACCCCACTAATACTGTGTTCATTTTTACTTGTGCAGCTGTTAAAATGGGTCATAAATTGCCTTAAATTTATTTTTAAAAAATTCTGCAGATACCCTGTAAATAGTGAAATAAAATTCCTTCCTTCAAATTTGTTGATATTTGTGTATTGAAAATATTTTTGATTTACATTTAAACTCCTATCTGATTTTCTATATTTAAAAAATATATTTTTTTTTTATTTGGGTTAGTTAAATTACTTTTCAGACTACCAAAATCTGAAGAGCAACTGCCCGAAGGCCTACCAGGGATTTTGCGAGCATTGATGTCTAAAAGCTGCTGTGTGACAAGGTGTACAGCAAATAAGCTAAAAAAAAAACAGAACTATGTTTTTATAAGCTGTCACCCAAAAAAAACAGCGTTTAAGGACACAAAAATAGAGCGCAACGTGTCTATTACTCTGAGAACTACGCCCACTAGAGGGAAACGTAATCGGCGACAGGAAACATTCATTATTTTTTACCGTCAAAGGATTATTTCACCACCCTATGTGAACCCGAGAGGAGGAGATATATTGAGAAACTAGATTTTATTGTTCCCTTTTCCTTACCTTCCTTTTGTTTGAGAAATAATCCAACTGAATGGCCCAACGTGAAATACCCTGACATCTACAACTATTTTTGTCCTTAAACGCTCGTTTTTTTGGGTCGACAGCTTATAAAAACGTAGTTCTGGGGGTTTTTTTTAGCTTATTTGCTGTACACCTTGTCACACAGCAGCTTTTAGACATTGGTCTGGTTTTTTTTATAAGTCAGAAATGACAAGAAGGCAGCTTCCCGCAATACAAAGTCAATGGAGAGCGTTGGGTTGATCAATGAGGTCTATGAACAATCAGTTCCAAAAACAAACCAAAAACCCGGTAACAAATACGAGAAATAAGATATTTAAGCAATTTTCGTAAACCTGTCATAAAAAAAAAAAAAAACTCCACGTTACAAAAATTATCAACATTTTTCTGGGAAGTTGTTATACCCTGTGTGAGCAAAGTCAGTAAGTTTTAGTCCAATGCAATAATATTAACAAGCCTTTTCGGTTAAAACTAACTCCTGGACAGGTCAAAATGAATGGAACACAACATGAGGAGTCAAATGTCAAAACAAACTGATCTAAGCAAGCAAATCCAGTTATGAAATTTACATCTAACCTTTTTTATCACCCATTGGCAAACAACACTACTATTATCTCATAGCTTTGCTTACAAGCAATGCCATGTTCAGCCTCCAAAGTCCACATCACCACCATAGCAACTCATCTGTGTGTGTCCCATGGTAATAATCAATGTGAACTCAATTAATGAATGAATGAATGAGAGTCCAAACAGCTGATAAAAACATGACAATAACCCACACCACCCCAGTCCATCAGTTAACATCTGGAGAAGTCAAAAGCTGCATGTTTGTAAGAAACAAATCCATCATTAAGAGGTTTTTAAAATCAAACCGTTGCACAAACAGTTATTATGGATTCATATTTTGGTTTTAAGTTAAAAGCGTCTTAATGCTGGATTTGTTTCAGCTTTTGTCTTCTCAAGACGTTAACGGATGGACTGGAGTGCTGTGGATTATTGTGATGTTTTTATCAGCTGTTTGGACTCTCATTCTGACGGCACCCATTCACTGCAGAGCATCCATTGCTGAGACACTGATGCAATGCTACATTTCTCCAAACCTGATGAAGAAACAAACCCATCTACATCTCGGATGGCCCGAAGGTGAGCGAATTTTCAATGAAAGTAAATCTATGCCATTCTGAGCATCTAAAGGAAATCCCATAGGGCTCAAAAATGCTCATTCTCCTTCAAACTGAGGCTGTCTCGTGACTTAACTGTGTTGGCCATATTTCATGCTTCCATCATGAAAATGAAAAATTTGGTTACCATGCATTTGGCAAATGTATGAAACCACATTTCTGAATCTGCTTTGTCAGCATCAGAGAACATGACCCAGCTCGAAATTACAATATCACAGTCAACCAGCTTAAAACTGCCATGTCACAGCAGACCAACCAACTAATAGTGATAGAAATAAAGTTAACTTCAAGGTATTCTTTGCATATATTTTGTACAGCTAATTACTTATTGTATTTAAGTATATTAATAGCATTTTTAAGCAAAATCCTCAAGTTAATTCATGCTATGAATTAGTTAATTTATGCTATGTGAAATTGTACCAAAGGTAAACGAGATGCACACACCCTTTTTACGTTTAAAACAAACAGTGAACAACAACTTTTAACGTCTATGAATATTACCTACTGTCTACAATCTCAATAACGTAGAAAACAACTTACTAAACCACAGAGTATATTTTATTTATGTAATTTGTAAACGTAAAAAAGGTGAATTATAATTAGAAAATCAGTATGCATGTTCTAAAATGTTGATCAGACACGAACACTTTAAACTGTAGAATTAACTCTCACATGAAACACGTTATTTTTGCTGTGTGAGGTCTTTTTGTTGACTTTTTCTATCAAACTGAAGAACAACAAACTGAGAACTAAAGACACACTGCAAATCTTAGCGGCATCTAAATGCAGACATTATCATTATCGCGCAATATCTAATAAACGCAAGTTGACTGCTATATTGATAACTCTATAAGATGGTTAAAGACATGTAAGTTTGAGAAAAGCTCTTACCTGCTGCTCACTTGAGCACTGACAATAGTTTCATTCACGCGACGCGGAAACCCCACTGATACTCGCTGGACGAATCCATTCCGCCGAAGGGGGAGACGTGTAATATTTGTGCTTTTATGCATATTTACGTGGGTAAACACTGTCATATGTGTCTTTCATTCACGCGACGCGGAAACCCCACTGATACTCGCTGGACGAATCCATTCCGCCGAAGGGGGAGACGTGCAATATTTGTGCTTTTATGCATATTTACGTGGGTAAACACTGTCATATGTGTCTGTAGTGTTTGTTACTCGTAGTTTCAAATATATAGCAGTGTGTCTTTATTTCGTGTTGTGGTAATTTAATGCAGTGTAATGTTTACATCAATTTAACCCCCCCGGTAATGCAGTAGACGCTTCTAAAAGAAGATTTTGTAATGTAGCAAATGCAACGTGAAATAATCAATTACAAAGTGCAGCGGGTTAAGGGTGAGGGTTATGCAATCATTTGAATGGCACAATGTGTCTTCACGTCCATGAATCCGCAGTAGACCTTCCTCGGTCATGTTGGAGTCTAGGTTACAAAAATACAGCAAAACGTTCATGTTTTCTTATTAATTCCCAACAAGGTGAGTATTAAGGCAAGGTTTATCTCTCATCTAAACACTTTATTATATATTATGTTTTGTCACAAAATTAGAAAAGTGTTGCTATTATTTGTTGTTTTATATATATATATATATATATACAGTGTTGGGGAAAGTTACGTTTAAAAGTAATCCATTACAATATTGCGTTACTCCATAAAAAAGTAACTAATTACGTTACTT